GTGGGTTTGAGTTTGCTGATCCCTCTGACCCGCATCATGCCCTTCGCTGCAAGTATCAGTATGCACCTTCTCGGGTTCACGATGCGGTTAAATTTGTGGTGGCGAAGATAGCTAAGGGTGCGGGTGGGATTGTGACCATGGAAGACGACACGTTGCTCCCAGGGAAGAGGGTTGATGTGGCGGTTCGGAAACTGAGGGAGGGGGAGGAGCACGCGCTGGAGGTTAGTGTGGTAGATCCTATCTCGCTATCCGCGCAGCACCATGGACAGATTGGTCGCAAGGTGGGTTTTGCCGCGAGAGAGAGAGAAAAGCGGAAGACGGCGGACTACAAATCGCTTCTACAGCGGCATGGGGGAGTGCAGTTCACACCACTCATTGCTGAGACATGGGGATGCTTGGGGGGGAGTTTTGGACGGTGGCTTAAGAAGCAGGGTGACGCGCAGATCGAGATAGCAAAGACGAAAGGGGCGGCGCGAGCTACGGGAAAGGGTTTCTCGGCTTATTTGCTCGGATCGCTCAAAGCGGCTGTGGGTGTGGCTTTGCAACGGGCTCAGGCGCGTGTGATCTTGTTACGCGCTGCGTCGATGATGAGAGGCCCAGAGGCTGTTTGGGTGGAGCGGGAGGATGTTGAGGAGGAGATGGGATGGGATGCTCCGTGGGCGGATGCACCATACTTGGTAGACATGCGGGTTTAGGGAGTGGGTTTAGGGGGGGAGGTTTGGTTCGATGGGAGTGCAGTTGGGGTGCTTTGATGGGAGGGCTTGATGGTGTTTTAAATGTGTGTGCTATTGGGGTTTTCTTGGGGTTGTGTGTGCTGCTTTTTCTTCCTTCTTCCCTGTTTTTCTTCCTCCTATCATTTTTCCCCTATTCCCCTCCTTCTTTCTTCCTCTCTCCTTTTTTCTACTCACGTTATTCCTCCTTTTCTCCTCTCTTCCCGTTTCCACTCCTTTTCCTTGCGTAATTATGCTACATTGTAATATTTTAAGATGATAGGATAAGGCCATAAATGAACCTTCATGTTACTAAACTGGTTAATTGTTGTATTTATAACAAGCCTTCATATGTAACTGTATAAAAATCACAGTGAGAAATATACATGACGACCTGCTCGTGCTCCCTGTTCTCTGTCCAGGAGTGTAGCGAAGAGCTTGTCATTGGCCCTGTTCGATAGCAATTCGGCAAAAAGCCCCCCACCATTGTCCAAGCACAACGGTGGGAGCATAAAGACAAACGGTGCTCGTTCGGCACCGCCGGCAGCGTAATGATTGAAGCCGACTGCCTGCCGGCTTCTTTCTGCAGGTCTAACGGCCGAGGTGTTCGGAAACACCACATCAACGGCCAATTGGTGTGGAAACATTCTGTGTTTTTTTTCTGACCCGGGCCCTGGCGGAACCATGGTCAGCGTCAGAAAAAGTATCGCAATCAAAATATTCAATCTGAAAAATATATAGTGTTTTACAGAGCGGTTCCAAAACGAGTGAGCCGTGTCCCAAGGAGTGGGCATGCCACTGGTTTAGACTGTTATTTTACCTAAGATATCCCTCAATACCCCAACCGACAGAAACCGTTGCTCCTTCACCGAAAAGTAGAAATGGCATTGGTGTGGTAACAGAGCGGCGTTTTGCCCGAGAGGAGCTGTGACGAGGATGTAATCATTGGGCGAGAGTCACTGTTAGGGCGCGCTTCGGCGTCTGGAACCATTGTTGAACTTCCCGCCTTGTTTTCCCGCGAAGGCGGGAAATCCGAGACATCGCAGTGGGATCGTTCGCGCTAGCGGGAACTCGGACTCGTCGCAAGGAGTGCCACGTAGATTCCCGCCCAATTCTCCCCACCGTTTCCAAGTTTTCTTCTTCTCGTTCACCCTGCTATCGAACAGGGCCATTGTTCGACAAATCAGTGAAGATTTTCCACGCTGGAAGATATGAGTGGTGCTGAACTGGCACTACGCGCAAATAATTTGTTGGTAGCGGTTGATGACCTGTCCATGTGAGCAGGATGGTGCCCAACGGTTGCCACGTGCACAGACCCTTTCGGCCCAATCAGATCTTCCCCTTGGGGCACCTCACGAGGAGCGTGCCCCGCTGTAGGCTTCCTCACTGGGGGAGATGTGACATTCTCGGTTCGGCGGCAGCAGTGCATCAGCCATGCCAAGCAGGCAGGGTACATGAGCGGCGCGTTTCCGAGGCCAACTTCCGTACCTGCCAGAAGCCTCGGGGAATGCGCAACGCGGTCGCTAGTATTTGCTGTGCTTCGGAACCTACCCATTGAGAAACGTATAGCATCTCACTGAACCGTATTGTGACGAGCTTGTGGGAGAGGCTCACTCTCCAGTATAGGGTGGGATGCACGACTAGAATTCTTTGCAAGCAGCATTCGTTGATCCAGAAACTCGGAGCTATCGGGTTCGAGAATTCGGAGTGGAATCCCATATATTTCCGCTTTTCGGGAAACCTTCGCATTTCTCAAGTAGCGCAGTCAGCGAACTTACGGCAGAGAAGGGAGAACGGCGAGAATTCATCAAGGAACTTATGCTTTCCTGATTGAGATGGGTGGCGGTGGTGAATCTCCAAGTCAAGAACGACGAGAACCAGGCGACACTAAGTCGTTTGGGCCGACTCGAATATTATCTCGAGAACCAGGCGGCACGAAGATCGTTTTCCATCCTGCTGCCAGACTCGACCTTGGCGGTCCGGCCACCCAACATCCGCGATATACGCTGACGCGAGAATCTGTGCATCATGAGGCTGATCCCACACACCAGCATCATAGTAATACCATCACCACTACCACCAATACTGCTAATTTCAGACCTCCGGGGTTCTTTCCGGTAGTCTTGGTCACGAATCATCTCTCTGCCTTACCGTCGCGCCGCCGCCGGCGCCGGCATCACAGTCACCGCCGTCGTCGCCGCGATCCAATTGCTTCGTTACCAGACGTCGCGAAGGTGACAGCGACGTTCCGCGAGCTTCGCGAGGGCGGCGGCGGCGGCAGCGGTGTAAGACAGGGCGGCAGCAACTTCGCTGTCGGCAGCACCGGCGCGGGCAGCAGCGGCAGCGGCCTGTGTGTAGGCAATGGCGGCTTCCCCCCAGCAGCCTGCCCGCAGATCGATCTACACCATCACCTCCGCAGTAGTGCGGGGGATCGTCGCGCTCAGGGGGACGCTGCGCGGATCTCGGCGGATCTGGGACGATCAGGACCGTCGGATCGGCAGGATGGAGAATCACAGCCGTTTGAGATGCCAGCCAGGGTTGACGAGGGGATTCGGCAGGAAGGGGGCGCAGGGACAGGCGCAGGGGCAAGCGCAGGCGCAGCGGCAGGGGCAGAGACAGGCGGAGGGGCAGGGACAGGCGGAGGGGCAGGGGTAGGGGTAGGGGCAGGGGCAGAGGGCGAGGCAGCGGGTGGAGCGGCAATGTCAGACATGGAAGACAGGCTAAGGTCGTACCTTGATGTGGTGAGTGCTCTTCATGATTGTGCTAGCATAGGAGCTTTTCGTGAGTATTGGGCCTTCTAACGTTTTGTTACTAGTAGTAACTGGGTGTTGGGCGTCTGGTGCATGCTTTCTCTTGTCATTTTTGTCTGTTATCTCCTCTACCACCCTCCGTTTTGGCGCAGATGGGTTATACAATTAGGTCATGGTTCTCTCCCCTCATCTACCGCCTTCATTTTCATGTTCCCACGTCCCTCCTCCCCTCACTTCTTTTACAGAGCGAAGCACGGTCATCACCCCACACGAATACCCACACCCACAACCACACGTCTTCTCCCCCACTCTCCCGCCTTCCGCTCTCCACTCTCATCGCCATTACCTCCTCCCTCCTCTCGCGCCTCTCCCTCACATATCACCTCTACCACCGCCTTCACTCCTCACCCTCCTCACCCCACTCCGATACCCTTTGGCCCAACCTCCTCCTCTCTCCCCCATCACTGCCCTCGTCCCTCCACTCCTGCCCCCTCGCCTCCCCTGCCTCAACTGCCACCATCCCCTCTCTCCTCCACTCCCTCCGCAGCTCCATCCCTCTTCCCTCTCTCCGCCAACTATACTCCATCCCTCTCCTCGCCTCTCCTCCCCCTCCCCCTCCTCCCTCCCTCTCCCCTCCCTCCTTCCCCTCATTCCGCTCCCATTACTCCCTCCACCTACTTCTCGCCCTCCGCCCTACCAAGGCAAACAAACCCGGAAAGACCGTTTCAGCTACTCCAGCCTTTGAAGCATCGTGCAACTCTTCTGCTTCTAACTGTTGCAGTGGCAGCGACAGCAGCAGCAGAAGCAGCAGGAGCAGCAGTGACAGCGACAGCAGCAACGGTGCAGGCGGCGGCGGTTCAGACAGGGACAGTTGCAGCAGCAGCGGCAGGGAGTCAGCAGAGTGCAGCAGCAGCAGCAGCAGCAGCAGCCCCTCTTGGGCTGCGTTACCGTTGGGACTGGAGCACTGTGAGCACTGGGGACACAATGAGCAACGACAGCAGGCTGGGTTGCAGCAGCAGTGGCGACGTGAGCACGATGCGGAGAGCACGCACCACGAAGCACAAAGAGTGCTGCAGTGGGCGATGCAGCAGTGGGGGTTCCGTCTGTGACAGATTCAGCAGTGGGAGGGACAGCAGGGTGGGAGGAGAAACACCAGTGCTGGCTGGTAGCTGCACAGTACAGCTGCTAGACCTGCAGAAGGGCGTTGGAGGTTCAGTGAAGCAGGAAGCTGTGGTGGATGCTTCCCTTCCCCTCCCCACTACCTCTGCATCTCTCCATGCGTCTCTCCGCCTAGGCTCCAGCTTCCCCCTCTCCCTGCCGTTTGCCCTCGGCTCCTCCCACTCGCCAGGCACTCCCTCCTTCTTACCCGCCTCGTCGTCCTCCACATCACCTGCGTTTTTTGTATCACCTGCATCATCACCCAGTGTCACTGCATCTGCCACCACCACTCTCTCTTTCGACTTGCCCTCACCTCTCCGGACTCTCCTCCTCCCGCTAGCCTCTCACCCAATACTCCGCCCATTGAATCTGCCCTCCCTGCATGCTCACGCATTTGTTACCACCGCCACCAGTAGCAGCGGCAGCAGCAGGAGCAGCAGGAGCAGCAGCAGCAGCAGCAGCAGCAGCAGCAGCAGCAGCAGCAGCAGCAGCAGCAGCAGCAGCAGCAGCAGCAGCAGCAGCAGCAGCAGCAGCAGCAGCAGCAGCAGCAGCAGCAGCAGCAGCAGCAGCAGCAGCAGCAGCAGCAGCAGCAGCAGCAGCAGCAGCAGCAGCAGCAGCAGCAGCAGCAGCAGCAGCAGCAGCAGCAGCAGCAGCAGCAGCAGCAGCAGCAGCAGCAGCAGCAGCAGCAGCAGCAGCAGCAGCAGCAGCAGCAGCAGCAGCAGCAGCAGCAGCAGCAGCAGCAGCAGCAGCAGCAGCAGCAGCAGCAGCAGCAGCAGCAGCAGCAGCAGCAGCAGCAGCAGCAGCAGCAGCAGCAGCAGCAGCAGCAGCAGCAGCAGCAGCAGCAGCAGCAGGAGCAGCAGCAGCAACAGCAGTACAGTGGGGGATGGAGTTCGTTTTGGGAGAAGCATGGGTGGCTATGAAAGGGGTTCGGCAACTGGTGGCTTAGGTCATGATTGGGTTGGGATGGGTGGGAAAGGTTTCAGAGGCAGGGGGATAGGTGGCGCGAGGTTGGAGGATAAGGATATGGGTGGTGGTGAGATTTGGAGAGAGGTGATGGGGGATGGAGGTTTGAAAGGAGAGGGGAGAGTGAGTGTGCAAAGAGGGAATGTGGGAGGGGGGGAGCTGGCAAATGAAGATAAGAAGTCGTGGTGGAGGTGTGGAGCTACAGGGCTCGCCAGGCAGCTTATAGAGGGTATACAGTGTTCTGCTGGAGTGGGTTTGGTGTGTCCTACAGCGTTTGGGAGAGTTGAAGTAAATTATTGCTGGCCCCTTCACATGCATTTAGGGGATAGCTTTATGAAGCGTGGCCTACAGATCCGATTCAACTCAAGTTCTTCATGAGTATCAACGTTATACAGCATCCTTATGTTAGAGTGTCATTGCACAACCGATAGTTTCCCCTCAATTTATACACTTTTGACGAAGCCTTCACTGAATATAGTTGCCCATCCATCCATCCCCTACAGGCTACATCTTGAAAAGCTATTGAAGGTTATGGAATAGTGAACCCACACAATCTGGAAACAAAAGCTTGGCTATACATTAATACCTACAAAAACGCAACGGCAGGTTCTGTGATTTCTAGAAACCTAATCTGCAGGAGATTATACGACGGCTATAAGTTTGAAAGGTGTCAGCGGCGATTGCGGACGGCCCACAGCCATGCGGTGAGGCACTGTACTAGTAGCAGCACACACCCTCGATATCTGGTTGCACTGGCGCGGCTCTCGCTATAATCACAAGCAGCACATCCGATGGTAATCCCGCAAGGAGATCTCCGAGCGGGGAAGCGGCTGGAGACCGTTTCCGCCTCACAGGCAGGTTCTGTTGGGGGGAGGAACGCGCAAATGACAGCTTAGTTAGCATGACGTGGCGTGGACCGTGGTATGTTAGAGCATATCAGATTGCATCATAGTGAGATATTTTGGAAAAGCAGAGAGTGTTCTTGATGTAAAAGAATGCCATCGCGCTAGCTTCATGCGTGCTGCAGTAGGCTGGCGTTGAGTCGGATAGTCTCGTCTCGTCTCACCTCCGCGTGCTGTTGCTTCGTTAATCTATTGCAGCAGAGGAGCAACGTAGCCACGCAACCTCTGAACTCCATCGGGAACCGATAGTGCGTTTGCGTTGTCCACGGAAGCAACTCCGGACGCTTGATAATCATCTCGCTCCGTGACGAATCCTGCGGGAAAGCCAACTGTGGTAAAGACGAGATTGGATTTCAGTGGGAATGAGGGGAACGAAAATGTGGGCCGGCAATTTCGCTAAAATCCAGCCAGTCATTTGCTTATTACGGAGAGCGAGTGGAAGAAATGAATTCAGCAAGCGCAGGTGCTGACGAATGAAACAAAGTACTGTTACAGGTGGAATTGTTTCGTACAGCTCGCTTGCCGACGACGAACGGCTCGTGCGTCGCCTTGTCGCGAAACACCCACGGGTGCTGCACGAACGACCGCTGCCTGTACACGCGGCCCGGCTGCAGACACTCGTACGGGACCTGCGCGACGGGAGCGAAGGCCAATGCGACAGGAGAAAACGAATACATAGCGTAAGGAATCCGGGCGTTTGGAAACCATTCGGATAACGACGTCGCGTAGAGCGCGCGTGGGGGGAGAGGGGGGGGTATGGTGCCTTGAACATGATCACAGTTATTTATGGATTATTGACGAACAAACGACGGAATAAAACGGACCTCCTTCCCGTCGTAGTCGACCCAGTACGGTTGCACGGCAGTGTCCGTCGCATTTCGGAAAGTGATCACCGTCGGCTTCGTGCTGGGTCCCGAGCACACCGGCCAGACTACCGGCCGCCGGCGAGAATGGCCGGCGCTGCTGCCGGCTTCAGGTTGAAAATCCCGTGCCTCGACATTCGGAGGGTAAGTCCCAGCGGCTTGATCAGGAACGAATGACGGCGCTTCTTCCCCGAAAGGACGGTTGGCTGCGGTGCTGCGGTTCGCGGGGAAGTTGACTCGGCCTTCGGGAGGGTAGGAGACGGCGAGCGGGATTGCCTCGAATAAGTCAGCCTCCATAGCTTCTTGGCCTTCGAACGGTCGTCGGCCTCTCAGAACGGATATTACGGAGCGGAGAGCGTGGAATAGGTTCATCTCCTCGTGGCGGACTCTTCTACGCAGTACGAAACGCCGCGCACGTCCCTCCAGAATGACTGCTGACTGCTGTCACACAGCTTCACGTGCAAAACCAGGAAATCGCGGAAGTGCTTGTAATACGATGTACGAGTTTGGACAAACTGTTTCATTACGAGACGTTATCCGCGTCTATTCTTTATACGCCACCTACACACGGGCCCGTCTTGCCGTGACGCCATCGTAGTGGGTAGGAGGACCAAGGAGATTGAGATTCTCGCCCCGACGATGTCGGGACTCGTTGGGAGAACCCCATTGGGACTGATGTGCGTGGCGCGATAGACGCGCCTAGCCAACCAAGACGAGGGATCCGGGCTAGGCTGGGGAACTTGGGGAACAAATTTACTGATAGTACAGCCTACAGGCCAGAGCCGAGTGTTTTTGCTTGAGGTTCGCTCGTTCCGCTGGATGAGGAGGCTCGTTTCTAGCTCGTTTCTCGCTCGGAGCGTTTTTGCGTGGCTAGGCGAACCCAGGGAGGTTGTGGGCCGAACTTGGAGGGACGAAGTTGTGACGGAGGCTCGGAACGATGTGGAGGTTTTGGGTTATTATAAGTATAGTCACTATCAAGGGCGCGCTATCACAAACAGTCACTCACTTATCAAGAACGGTCATTAAAACCGGGAAATCTATCACAGATAGTCACTGCATATCACAATGGTCACTCGTCGCGCCACGATGTTATCACGAATGGTCGCTCAAAGAGACGACTGCGCGAAAGTTGGAATGCTTCCCCAGGCGATGTCACACTGTTGCGATTTAGGGACTATTAGCGCGTTAATTCTGTCGCGGCACTATTTCGTCTCGCGTCGCCGTTTTGTCCGTAGTGTTATGAGATTTTGTTATTTTATGAAATATTCTTGTTATTCTCAGCAACGTCAGAAAGTTAACATGTAGCGTAGTGTTCACACTTTGATTGTCCACTATTTGATTGATACGCAATGTCTCTTAGAATATCACAATTAGAGGGTGAAAATAGAAGGTTCAATCCTACTCTCAAGAAAAAAAAAAAAAAAAACTAAAACCTATTCGGAAGGAATTTTCTTTGGGAGGCATCAACCCCAAACGCATTATTGCTTGATGTCTAAAGTTGATGCCTCCGAAAAGGCGTAACATCCTATAGGGGTTTATTTTTCTCTTCGGTCCTAGATGTCATGCGACAACCATGCGCGAGCTAACAAGCAATCAAAATTGGGATTCTACAAAATCTCTACAGTTTCTTCACAATAGCTCATAGAGTTTCAAATTGGGATTCCAAGAATGCAGACATGGCTGAGGCAACACTTGCCTATATTACTATTCACGCCACTATTCGTGACGCACCCCAACCACACAATCTGGTTGGTAATCCGCACTTCGGACCTCCGCCTCGATATTTCCCAACCTCGTCACTAGGCCCGTAATGTACCCCATTTTCTCGCGTTACTGTTACCACGCTAACTTAGCTATATAGTCTTAGCTCATTCCTCCGCTCAATGTAATGTTTTGCTTCGATAGTGCAATTCTCGCTCGCTCACTCAATTGCACTCATAACACATGCTCACCATTCGTTTCGTTCTACAACCTTGTTCTCGATCTTCGCACCAACGGGCGTCTGGTAGGCTGATTTTGTCTTATTCAAAATGTTTGAATGAACCATATCGAACCATTTTGAACCGCTCTCAACCGTATTATTTCTTCATGCAAGTTCGTATAACTGAGGTCGGTCTAGCGAGAATGAGGGTGTACCTCTGCATAGCACAACAACCAGCGCTGGTATTGAGGTGCACAGCTGCGCATCCTTGCACGCCAGTGCCAGATAGATTTCTTCAAAAACCTCCACACCGTTCCGAGCTTCCGTCACAACTTTGCCCCTCCAATCTGCCTCGGTCCGCAATCTGCCTGGGTTCGTTTACCCACGCAAATACGCTCGGTCCGAGCGAGAAACGAGCCTCCTTAGCAAGCGGGACTAGCGACCATCTAGCAAACATGCTCGGCTCACTTAAGCACCACGTCTGCCCGACATTTTCGGAGGAGTCGGTACAGGCTGCCGGGACACACAGAAAGAAACGGCCCAACGACTAAGCGGGGGTTGAAGAATGTCGTGGGAGCAGATAAAAAGCCGGTGGAACCGATCTTCGGCCCTACTTCGCCCGAACCTCACCATCCACACCAATTACTGGTTCTGACTCATGCAGTCGACCTGATTCGGTTTAATAACGGGGTTGAACACGAGCCTACCTTGCGCTGGTTAAAAGCACATGGACTGGTGCCCATTCGACAGCTATACAGAAAAGACAAAAGAAAATAAGTGGAGCTCGCGACAATGTTTTACTCAAAAAAAAGCTAGCTGGGTGAATGGCACGCGAAAATTTCGGGGAGCTGCGAAGAAGCATTGGTGCAGTTTACAGGTTTCTCCTGACCTGGGCGTCTTCACACGACTTGACGGCGCAGCGGCGAAGCTGAGACCGGGAAGCTGTTAAATTTTCGTGGCGTGATAGGCACGGCGTGCTGCAAAACGGTTGGGTGATAGTTCTTTTTAACTAGGGCTACCCTGACTTCAATAGTTTTGCACCTCCACCGTGGCCGGGAACGCGCGGGCAACATTGACAATAACCCATCCGACAAAAGCGGACGCTGGTCGAACGGCGGGAAGCGAAATTGTCGGGGGGTGAAGACAAATGATGGAGGGAAAGTTGAGGGTGATCCAGCCGATCACTAGAGTGCGGTTGAGCTCGTGCACCACTCCACCGTGGATTTCAGGGTTCATTAGGTGGATGCCGAAAGGGTCGGATATTTTAAACATGGAAGCACGGCGAGTGATGCATCGCCAAGGATACATGTGATCATCTAGGTGGATTCGACGGGTATGAAGACGGGTGAACGTCGGAGTACCAGGGCTGACGGCGGAAATGTCGGGGCTAAAAGACGGAAAATAATTTTGGGACTGCTGCCCCAACCATGATTTTCGGGTGTTTTTCTTAGAAAAAAAAAAGGAGTTGGAGGCTGAGGGTGTTTCTTTGCTTCTTGGAGTGCGGTTGAGCCATTGGGAAACTTCGCGTAAAGGGTCGCTTTTTCAGTCGCCTGGCAAGAAACACAGCGGTAAGGATACCTAGAACCCACTTGTGTTTAAACGTACACCGTGAGAAATTCTTGAGTAAAAAAGGAGCGTGGGAGCAACCGAAGCTTCGGGACTTACCTGCAGGCGATGAGCTATGGGTGCAACATCTGCAAAGCGCCAATGGGAGTTGCATGGCATTTTGTTAAAGCATCATCGACGTGAGCAGTTTCGACGACGGGGTCAACGGCGTTGATGCCACTAGGTTCCGTGAAAGTTGGTATCATAATAACCCAGGGCAGTCGCCTGTTCTCGATTGAACCCACATGCTGGGGTCGGGTAAACCGACGAAAACTACTGGTGACCGGGTGGGCGGCTATAGCACGACCGAAGATTTCGGAGGCGAACTGCACCTGCAACTGCGGAATTATGGGGGTTGTACTCGACCGACAATTTCGGAGTTTTTACGTGGGGACTTACCGGTTTTACGGCGAGGAGCGCCGACATTTTTGTGGGATTTCTCGGTGTTTGGTTAAACGCGTGCAACAACAACGTTCGAGCAACAGTGCGTGAACTGTTAAACTGTATTATGCTTGTAGGCTGTAGTGGGGTAGCCAATATGGGGTACAACCCCAACTAGGGTTTCATATTTGTACCCAAACTTCTGCTAGTTCAATCATTCTTGCCTAGCTATTCTGAAATGGTATTCAGAGCAGGAGGTCCCTAGGACCTACCGACCGTTTTTTTTTAAGGGCCCACCACCGCTCGCATGCGGTTACCACGCTACCCCGTGCCCTAGCCTCGTAGCGCCCTCGTGCGCCCTCGTTAGCGCCCTCGCGCGCCCCTCGTTAGCGCCCTCGCGCGCACCCTCGTTAGCGCCCTCGCGCGCCCCTCGTTAGCGCCCTCGCGCGCCCCTTGCTAGCGCCCTCGCGCGCCCCTCACTAGCGCCCTCGCGCGCCCCTCGCAGTGTCGCCCGCCCGCCGAGCCGCCCGCTCGCAGCCCGCTCGTCCTGCTGCCCGCTTCGCAGCCCGCCCGCCCGCTCGCTGCCCGCTTCGCGGCCCGCCCGCCACGCAGCCCGCCCGCCCGCTCGCTGCCCGCTTCGCGGCCCGCCCGCTTCGCAGCCCGCTCGCTCGCTGCCCGCTCCGCGGCCCGCCCGCTTCGCAGCCCGCTCGCCCGCTCGCTGCCCGCTTCGCGGCCCGCCCGCCCGCTCGCTGCCCGCTTCGCGGCCCGCCCGCTTCGCAGCCCGCTCGCTCGCTGCCCGCTTCGCGGCCCGCCCGCTTCGCAGCCCGCCCGCCCGCTCGCTGCCCGCTTCGCGGCCCGCCCGCCTCGCAGCCCGCTCGCCCCGCTGCCCGCTTCGCGGCCCGCCCACTTCGCAGCCCGCCCGCCCGCTCGCTGCCCGCTTCGCGGCCCGCCCGCTTCGCAGCCCGCTCGCCCCGCTGCCCGCTTCGCAGCCCGCCCGCCCGCTCGCTGCCCGCTTCGCGGCCCGCCCGCTTCGCTGCCCGCTCGCAGCGCCGCCCGCCCGCCCGCTACCTGCTTCGCAGCGCCGCCCGCTGCCTCACTGCCCGCTTGCTGCGTCCCCTCTGCTGCTGCCGCTGCTCTGCTGTGCCCTCACGCCTGAGCTATGGCCTCTATTCGCGTTCTTTCCTTCGATGCTGAGGGCCGTCCCGTGCAGTTCACTTCCTGGCTCGACGACCTGCAGTTGTATCTTATGAGCAATAGCACGGACCACATCTCCCTCTATGACTACGCGTCTGGTGCTGCCGCTGCTCCTGCTGCCACAGCCGAGCTTAGTGTTCGTTCCCACTGGCAGACTCGTGACGCAGCTGCTCGCCTAGCCATTCGTAGTCACCTG